TAATGTTATTCCAAAGCATATCCATGCTTAGAATTGTGGAAGCCAGTTTCTGAGTCACACTGGAGTCTTTCTCACCATAGATTTTTGTCAGCTAAATATTTTGTCAGCTAAATATGTCAGCCCAAGACTGAAGAAACAGCTTCTGTTTGCTTTCAGTAAGATGCTGCTGTAAATTAGTATTTAGATTAAACCACACAATCTCTCGATAGGACAGAGCAATACAAACAACAGCAGAAAACATATTTTCTTATCGCTTTCAAATATTTGTATCCTACACAAACATTAACAAATACTTTATATGTTTTGAAATAATAGGGAGCTCTTGCTTATGCTTCTTCCCTACCTCAGTTTAACTTTACTTGCATTTATGGAACATTTCGATGGAAGTCACAATTGGCAGCAGTAAGCCATGATATCTGGCCTTTTCCTCAATTCCCCTAAAATGCTATGCACAGCTGGGATGCATACTTTCCAGGATCTTGATGGGGACAGTTTTGGAAGCCATTTCAGCTGATGTCTTCAATTCATTATTTGCTGGAAGCCAAATGGACAAAAATAGCCAAACACATTCACACTGTTGTCCATTTTCCAGGATCTTGATGGGGACAGTTTTGGAAGCCATTTCAGCTGATGTCTTCAATTCATTATTTGCTGGAAGCCAAATGGACAAAAATAGCCAAACACATTCACACTGTTGTCAATTTTGGAGAGAAAGGAATCTTTTCTTGCCCACTGCTGGTTCCCATCTCTATTTATTTTTGGTGAAAAGAGACATGCATCAGATAGATTTCACCATGCCTCTTATTTTCTGCAGGATCACAGACATGTCCAAGGTATCCATGAGTAGCCGGCCTGAGTCTGGCTATGAAAACATGGACCATTTCTCTCTCAATATAGATCACGTTGCTGAAATGCTGAGAACTATTGAATTTCAGACAGGTGAGAGTGGCTGGATTGAAACATCTTGCTGGAGTGAGGGGAGAGGATGCATCCACTGCTGTTCCTTCATTTGGGTGCCATTCTCTTTGAGTTTTTCACTAACTTACACATTACCTGTCTAAGAAGGTATTTGACACTAAGGAACTGAAACTCTAACTCTTAACTATGTAGGGTGGAAAAGTCTGTATCTAAGGAAGAGGGCATTGAAATGAAGGATATTTGAAGAATGGAGAAGAAGGAGCCATGGTATTATTGGTGGATGGGGATAGATTGAATTATTTAGATTATCTCAAAGAGAATGACCCAAACCATTTTGAACTTGACTCAACAAAATCCCTCAGCCTCCTAAGTAGAAATAGCATAAAATGACAAGTCGTTTTTTGGACCATTCAGTGGTTAAACATCAGGCATTTGAAAGCAAGACTGATGTGTAATCAGGTAATTCTGCAGACCCACAACATTTATATAGTTTGGGGTTTGAAGGAAATTCATATTTGGCTCATGGTGCAAAAATCAACAGCAACATCAACCCAATAAAGAATTTTGTGACTTGTTCAGACAACATACCCAAGAAAGCTAAAACCCTAATGTCTATATTTGAACAAGATATAAAACTAGCATATTAGGCAAATCCAGAAAAGAGACCAGTAACCAGGTAATACACGCAGTCCTTAGTGCTGGTGTATTTGGGAAAAATAAAACAAAGTTATTTTACTTTAAACTTTTTTTGTTGTAAATTTGTATCACAGTCTCTTTTAAAAGTGAATTTCTGCATGTCGTAAAAGGATATAATTGAGCTAGATAGGATATTAATTTGGACAACAAATTTACACTAAGACTAAAGGACTTTCTTTATTCAGAAAGATTAAAGGATTTGGTTTCCCTTTTGCTTGTAGCTTAGAGTTGTCTTCTGAAAAATGTATTTGGAACATGTATGACTTAGGAAGAAAATCATACAAAACCTATACAGTAATCAATCATCATGTGTGGAAGAGGCGGATTGCAAATTCCAGCACTACCGGTTCGCTTTTGCGCACACATGATACTTCTGCACATGCACAGAAGCATCTGGGTGGGTGGGCGGAGCCTCTCATCGCCGCCATTCCTGGTTTGCCTGATCTGGACCGAATCAGGAGGAACACACCTCTGATGTGTGGGGAACTGAAGCATATTTTTCAGAGGTCTGTCTACATAATGGTAGCGTTCAAAAAGCATATTGGAAAATCTGTGTTTAGAGATTCAAGATAGATGAATAACACAAAGTTGTCATTTTCACATATGCCTGCTTCCCACCCCTACCCTGCTTGCCTTTCAGATATTTCTGGAGAGGAAACTGAGTCTGAAGGAATTATCCCAGAAGGAAGTGGTGAAGCTGGAGAGGAAGACCATCCAGAAGGATCGGAGGGGCCTGAAGGAGCAGAAGGTGAGTTGAAAAGCTGAAATGAGAGTTGGGTAGGGTTGTAATGAGTAGCTCTGACCTGCCTAGGGATGCATTGAGATTTTGCTGCTACAAGACCTTGATCAGAAAGTCCAAATGTTTCTTTTTCTTCCCACCTGTCCTGTTTGAGCCCCAGATTTCTTAGAAATGTCCTCATTATAATCTACCCAATATTAAGAACCTGCAGAGGAAAACATCCTCAGAAATTATTTTAATATATTTAACTTACTTAAGCACAGGTGAGTTAATAGATTAAAATAATGCCTGAGGGATGGAGTCACATATAATGGAAGTGGGGCTATTTTCGCTTGTTATTTTATAATCACAGTTCTGAGCCCTTCTGTCCTTTCCTGTTGAGCTAACCTCAGCCTTAGCTGTGAAATCTAGAATCCTAATGTCATGCATCTTTTTCTCTCTCCAGATGGAGAGAACCTGTCTCGATTCAGACCAAAGCCACCTAATATACAACCTCGGGGTAAGTCTCCCCTTCCCCTGGACAGTTTCTTTAATTGGCAGAGAATGAGAATGCCAGGAGGAATTTGAAAAGGAATCTTCGGGAATGAGCCCCAACAACCAGATGTTCTCTTGATGGGATGCTTACATAGAAAGGGATGATCTGAATGGAATTTTCTACCATGTGGTCGATTCTTTTGTGTACTTTACCTGGCACTGTGCTATAGAGAAGACAATCGTGACCCGTCAAAACCGTGGAGGACAAAATTGCGCTCGACGAAAGCGCGCATGTGACATCATCACAGCGCAACGAAAAAAATTAAAAATTTAAATAACATTAAAATTAAAG